GGTTTGGGTGAGGGTACGTACATATATAGTTGAAGAAGAGTTAATGGGTCACATGGTGGTTGTTTACTTTTACATTGAACATTGTTCTGAAAATGGGAATTGGGCGGGTAATGGTCAATTAATCGTCTACAGAATGGTGTGTAGTTAATGTTTTTTAACAGGTGTACAGGTGGAAGGATCTTATTGGCTGTGCCAATATTAAAAGTTTTGAGCTAACAAAATAGCGTGGCGGATTTTTTTGCTTCATTGGCGGCCAAAGGGCCGAATGGGCTGTTTAAGCTTTATCATCCTTCTCCGGAAGCGCGTGTGTGGTCGAACCACGATAGTTTGGGTGTCTCTATCCCTAGGTCGGTTATCATTTAGGTGTGTCGTCTCCTTCTTTGTACCAAAAAAAAAATGCTTTAGTCATTATAAAAATATTTTATGATATTATGATAAAATAAAATATCATATTTTTTACAAAAATAAAATAAATAATATTATAATATTTGATAGTAGAAGCATAGATTTTATTTTGTTTTGTTCACATGACTGACATTAATGTAGTGAAAATATATAGTGATGAAGCTCTCAATCGGTATCACAATCAAAGCTAAAATGACACGTCATTACTTTAGGTGAATTCTTTATTCACTCGTCACCTTACTGTGCTCGAATGAAATTAAATTAGCATGCATGCATTTATTGTCACCCATATTCTGCAATTTAGGTGGCTTTTGAACATTGAATGCTGTAATTTTTATTAGTGTATTTTTCTTTTTGGAAAACTACACTTACCTGATTTTTTTTTTTTTTCACTTTATCCACTCAATTTTCTTTTGTGCCACTTTGACCATATAACATTCTAAATAATTGCAAATAAAAAATAATAATTAAGTGGTTAAAGTGTAAAGAAACGTATAGGTGGATGGGTAACGTGTAAATTTTTCAATGACAATTAATTTAATGAATTACTGAAAAGTCCATTTTGCCTATAGAAATTCCCGACGATGACCGAAAATTGGTTAAGTGCAATTTTTTTGTAAAATTATATGGGCAAAGTGCCAAAGTGTCACGAAAAAAATTTGAGTGAGTAAAGTAAAAAAAACTCTATAATTAAGTGGGTTATAGTGTAGTTTTCCCTGAGAATGCAGCAGTGTTAAAACTCTTGAGGGAGAGCTTTGCCGCCTTTGTGGTCCTACCCGGCTCGATTTCGAATTAGTCGGTTCCCCTGTGGATTCGGAAACCGGAAGGTCCCTGTACAAAAAAAAAAAAAAAGTGTAGTTTTCCCTTTTTTTTTTTAATAGTAACAAAGAAAACAAGTATGTAAATGAATTAGAGCATTTTAGACTTTTAGTTGCCTCGAGGGTTACATGGAATTCATATATTGGTAGATGAAAAATAAGTAAATGATTCATTCTAGATGCTGCTATCTATTGAACGATCTAAATTACCTGTGAATTCCAAAGGCTTTATTGCACGTTACGTACCACGCGCATTACACCATCTTTACGTCTCTTATGTTTTTAGATATTTTTTT